TTGAAGTGAAACATTAAGCACCGAGTTTCTCGAAGCCATGGCTTCCTGCATGCTTACTTTGTTGTTTCGCTCCTTTGGTTTCGTCGAAAGCCTTGACACCATGTCTCCGCAGGAACTTGGTTTAAAGAAAACCATCAAGAAACTGGACCGCCACGTCAAAACCCTCTACGAACAGGTCCCAGAGAATACACTTTGCCTCGTTCTGTTACCAGGCGCCCACAGGTGAAAAAAACAAACCTTTATTATTTCTCTTTTCTGTTTCCACAAAGGAGGGCTTATTTCGCCTTGGATTCTCAGTCTGGGGTCTCTCCTTTCTTGGTCTGATGCTTAGAGAACCGATGTTTGTTTGTTTCAATTACTTTCCCGATTTAGATAGCTTGGCTACAATCCAGCAAAGTTAGAAACACAAAATAAATAAAATACCAAATAAATGGTTTGGGTGGTGGATCAAGTGCAGCTAATTCTCAACCATAACGGGGGCCCCAATTTCCGTCGCCAAACAAGACAGTTGTTAAGTGAGTTTTGCCTCCCTTTTACGACCCTTCTTGGCCCCGTTGTTAAGCGAATCACTGCAGTTGTCCCTCCCAACGCTGTTAATCTGTATCTGGAACTGGACTTTCTGGTTTTTCTTTGAAGACGTTTCGCTTTCATCCGAGAAGCTTCTTCAGCTTCTTGGAGCCGTTTCGCTTCTCATCCAAGAAGCTTCTTCAAGAAGCAGAAGAAGCTTCTTGGATGAGTAGTGAAACGTCTTCAAAGAAAAAAAAAAAGTCCATCTGCCTCTTGAAAACAAGGCACCTTTGGGACACCCAGATTAATGGTGTCGCAGCTTCGGAAGAGCAGAGAGGCGGTTTGGATGCAGGAATCTTTTGAATGTATGGAAGCTGAGTTGCTGAGTCTCTTTTCCCTCCATTCAACACGCTATTCATCGGCTCAGGGGGAGCAGGAGAAAGAGACGCCATTGTGGGTCTCAGCAGGATTGTTTGGGGTTGTTATTTTTTTTATGGTAAAAGTTCCCCTCGCACCTATGCGCTAGTCGTTTCCGGCTCTAGGGGGCGCTGCTCATCTCCATTTCAAAGCTGAAGAGCCAGCGCTGTCCAAAGACGTCTCCGTGGTCATGTGGCCAGCAGGACTCAATACCAAAGGCGCAAGGAGGAACGCTGTTCCCTTCCCACCAAAAGGGTCCCTATTTTTCTACTTGCATCTTTTTTTTAACATGCTTTCGAACTGCTACATTGGCAGAAGCTGGGACAAGTCACGGGAGCTCACTCCGTTACGCAGCGCTGGGTGTTCGAACCGTCAAACTGCCGAACAAGCTCAGCGTCTTAGCCACTGAGCCACCGCGTCCCAATAATAGATAACAAAATAGATAATAGATAACAAAGTAGATAATAATAGATAACAATAATAGATAAAATAGATAATAGATAACAATAAATAGATAACAATAATAGATAATAATAGATAACAATAATAAATAATAACTAGGTACCTGAGTATCATACAGAACCTGGTTTGATTTTCATACCCTTGAAAGTTCCACAAACCAGCACCTAATTCCAGGGATGGAAAGCGCCTTAGCCCCTGAGCCACCGCGTCCCTTATGTTGTTTTATTTATTTATGCCAAGCAGAATGGCCTGGCCTTTGTTTCCCAAGACAGCTTCAGTGCCTTTGCAATTTCTCACGCTAAGCCCTAAGAAGAGTTTGTGGCTTGGCACTGTCCATTGTGGCTTACTCCACCAACCGTCGTGTGGCAACGATGGCATATTGCGTTGCCGGGAGTCCTCGAACTAATGACCGCAACGAAGCCCCAAATTTAGGTCACTAAAGGAAGAAATTTAATTTTTGCTCCTTTTCTGGCCACTTTTTGTCAAGTGGAATCCCCTCACTTGTTAAATCAATAACATGGTCGTTAAGCGAATCTGGCTTCCTCTTGGGACATTTGCTTGCCAGAAGGTCACAGAAGGGGATCGTGCGGCCTTAGGGACGCTTCAACTGTCATAAATCTGAGTCAGTCGCCGACCAGCTGGATTTTGATCACGACTGTGGGGATGTTGTGACGGTTGTTAAGTGTGAAAAACAGTCATGGCTTGTTCCAGTGCCATTCTGACTTTGAATGGACACTGAATAAACGGTTGTAAGTCGAGGACCACCTGCAATTCAAACGGACCTGCTCAGGTTGGGATTTTTCTGCTCCTGCAGTTCACTTCATCCAAGCATTTTAACAATATAAGCAGCCACCACGTTCCCTGAAGAAACCAAACACACATTTTCCTCACTTTTTCTCACTTACCTTACAGGTTCTCGGACTCTCTTAGCGGCCTCAGCCTTGTGGGAATCAAAGGCGAAAAGAGCATCTCCACGTCCTGCTAAAAACCTTCAAGGACTCCCCCTTATTATTATTATTATAATAATACTTCCTCTTTTTTTGGCGGGAAAAACAGCCTCCTCTTGCTCGCGCAACCAGAACGCTTCCAAGCTTTGCCAAGCCATTTTGTTTGTTTTTTTTAAAGAATTCAGTTATTATTATTTTTTCTAAGGCATCCAACCATCTGAAGAATTCGATTCCATTGTTAATGCAGGAGACCTTTTATTTTATTTTTTTAAAGGCTCCCTGCGGACTGCCAGATGTTGGGGGAATTTCTGGAGGCGGGGAGGGAGCGACAGCCGAAAAAGATGGTAGTTGGCACCAAATTCAGCTTCTCAGCCTGGCGTTTGAAAAGTTTCCGTGCCGTTTCTGGACAGCAACATTTTCCAAGGCTTGGCTTTCGATTTTAATTGTTATTTTGAAAAAGGAGAGAGGAAGGAACGGTTCAACGCCTGTGAAATTTATTCCCTCTACAGGCAGTCCTTGACTTAACGACCACCACTCTTGAGCTCGGAATTCCTGTTGCTAAGCAAGACGGTTCTGGAGTTTTGCTCCATTTTTTATTTTTTTTTGGCAGCCTTTCTTGCCGCTGCGGTTCAGTGAATCGGTTGTAAAGTGAGCCACACGGCCGTGAGGCGAATCCCGGGTTTTCCCACTGACTTTGCTCATCAGCAAGTCGTAAAAAGGGGACTGCGTGACCACGGCCGCCGTTGTAAATATGAGTCGGTGGCCAGGCCAGGATGAATTTCAATCGCGTGAGCGCGGCGGATGCGGCAACCGCCGTTAAGCGTGAAAAACGGTCAGGTTGCTTTTTCTTTTCTTTTTTTTTGACGTTTGTAACTTCGGTCAGTCAATGAACCGTTGTAAGTCGAGGACTACCAGGGAACCAGAATCTCTAGCTTGACATCCCACAGATGATTAGAATAATCAAAGGAGAAAGGGAGGCCCCCCCAAAAACCCCAACTTTGGTCTGAAGAAACAGCAAAAGTGGCAGATTTTTTTTAATATTAACGGGCGGATTTGGGGTGAGGAGGCGGTGAGGACGTTTTGCCAGATATTTTGCTAGAAAAGGACAGGATCCAGCAATTCGAGGCAGGAGGGGGAGGAAATTCCCAGAAAATTCAGTCTTGGCCCCGTCTGTGTGGGCGACTCCAACTGCAAAAATAAGCATTAAAACAAAGGAGTGGGCTTGGTTTTTGCCCACCTCCGCGAAAACTCCCAGCAATTGTCTGGAAAGCCACAATCCACACACACACACACACACAAAAGGGGGCAGGTTGTGTATTCCTAAAGGCATCCCCGGCTCTCGGGGAGGGGCCCACCGGCTTTTCATAATGGAGCTTTTCATAAACCTCTCGGTTGGCCTGTTTTTCCTCACCGCTGCAGAACAGGCTGGCCCGAGCGTCTATCGTGCCGTTCGGTCTGGAGGAAGTGTGGCGGGCTTTGCTTTGACCCTGGAGAAAACGGAACCTCTGAATCACACGCGTCTTGGTCGGCTTCCACTTTCTTCATAAAAGGCAAGGTTTCTGCCTCGAGGCTGGCAAGAGGAGGGCTGCTGCTGTGTGAGGAGGCAGGAATGCAAGCCAGACGGGACATCCTGACCAACGCCGGAGGGCGGTAGCTCACGTCACCCTGTTCCTTGCTTGACACGGAGGCCATATATATTATATATTATATTATATTTTTATAAGAATGCCCATGTACAGAGCCTTTCTCCCTCTCCCCCCCCACATACACACATATTTTATAAGGATGCCGTGCAGAGCCTCTCCCTCCCTCCTTGTGTATGTGTGTGTGTGTGTAGATAGATATATAGACGTGGGAAAATACCAGAACAAGCTGAATGCCATACATGTAAGTACCTGCCAAAACTTAACACACACGCACGCACGCATATATATGTATGTATGTATGGCATTCAGCTTTGTTCGGGTATTTTCCCACGTCATTGTAGTTGTGCTTTTAAAGTTGTAGCAATACAGAAGCCTGATGATGGCAGGTGAGATTCTGCCGAAATGTTGCTACAACTTTAAAAGCACAACTACAATGACGTGGGAAAATACCCGAACAAAGCTGAATGCCATACATGTAAGTACCCGCGAAAACTTAAGAAAACACACACATACACACACATATATTTTATAAGGATGCGATGCAGAGCCTCTCCCACCCTTCTTCCCTCTGTGTGTGTGTGTGTATATATATGTATACACACACACACATACATAGATGCCCATGCACCTTAAAAAGGTTAGCCATCACTGTTATAGAAGAAATACAAGTAATAAAACTGTTCTCGAGGGGTCGGGTGTTTGCACTAATATTTCTATTTTTTTTCCTTTTTTTGCATTTGGATATATTTGTATTCAAAATAATAATAATAAAAAAAAAAAACCAACCCCAAGCTTTGATCTTCCTAGTTCCGAATGAATGACACAACGGGCCAAGTGTTTGGTGCCTGGCTCGGATGCCGGGTGTTTTAATTTAAGGCCAATCCATTTTCCTTTGCTAACCTGGGTTCTAGCATTGGGCTGGTGATAGGACACCGAGAAGGGGGTCTTACAGCCTCCCCATGCCAGAGACGGCAAGGGTATGAGAAACAGGGCAAAAATGCAGATTTACTTCTTTTCAATGGCAAAGCAGCAGTTGCGAATTTGGACAGATTTCCAGGGTGGATTAAGGCTTAAAGGAAGGTGCTGGTGTCAACAGGAATCTGTCTCTCTCCAACCTGAAAAACCTCTCCTCTTCACAGAACAACAGAGTTGAAAGAGACCTTTGGCCATCTTCTAGTCCAGGAGTCTCCAACCTTGGCAACTTTTAAGCCTGGAGGACTTCAACATCCAGAATTCCTCCTCCAGTCATGTTGGTTCAGGAATTCTGGGAGTTGGAGTCCTCCAGGCTTAAAAGTTGCCAAGGTTGTTCTCGTCCAAACCCCTGGCTGTGCAGTCTCGCCTTAAAAAGCCTCCAGAGATGGAGCGTTCACAACTTCTGAAGGCAAGCCATCCCATTGATTTAACAGAATAACCAAATTGGGAGGGACCTTGGAGGTCTTCTAGACCAACCCCCAGCTTAAGCGGGGAACTCCATAACACTTGAGACGAGGATGATTTTGTCTGAAATATACCATTTCTTCTCAATGCCTTGATTGAAAAATACCATTTCTTCTCAACGGCTTGATTGGGACCGGACCTTTTTTTCATTTCAAATCCCTCTCTGGCAATTTGGGGTGGGGGATAAGACGATCTCGGGAGCATTTCCCCGATTTCCTGCGGTCACTTGGCTATAGCGGTTAAAGCGCCAGGCCAGAAACCGGGAGATCGGGAGTTCTAGAGCCACCTTGGAGAGGGAGCAATGGCCAAACCACTTCTGACAAAAACCTAGCCAAGAAAACGGCTGGGGCTCGTGGGAGGCAATTGCCAGGAGTCCAAGACTGACTCAAAAGCACCGACCCACAAACACTGCCTGGGATTTCAGGCCTAACCAATGCACCTCGAGACTATAATTCCCATTGCCAAAGGCCAATCTTGCTGGGGAAAACCGCTCATCCTCAGTCTGAGTTGGGTGAACCTCTGCAATTTGAAAACCTGCACCGGCTGTAAACAGACGATCCAATTGTTGGGACGACAGTTCCTAACCCCTGCCTCCGCTGCAGGGCTCCAACAAATGGAAAATCTACCCACACACAGACACACAACACACAACACACACAAGGGATGGTGTGTTGGAGCCCACGTTGGGGAGGAGACAGGGTGGAAATAAAATCCCAACGCTCCCATTGTTTGGCGGAGCACAAAAGCAGCCGAAAGAAAACTCAACGGCTTTATCTAGAAACCTGGAGGTGTTAAAAACATCTCACACTCTTCGCCCCAAAAGTGTGTGAATGGCAGCATCCCACTTCTTCGCCTTGTGTCTCTTGCACACCCTTGGAACAAAGGCTGGGGTTTAGTCGCCACCGGCCGCCCCTTCCCAGAGCGTTTTAACTGACCGGAATTTAATGCGATTCCCATTAATGTTCCTTGGAGGTCTCAGAACGGTGGTGAAAAATTTATATTAAGGGATCTATTACCCGTGGCCGCCTGGGAAGGCCACCGTCGCAACCGCAATTGTAATTATAAGGTTATAGAAGGGAGCATTGATTACATACGCCCGTCTTTTTAATTAAGGTAATTTTAATTCAATTAAGCCCTGCCTGGCCCAACAGACCTGTTGGCGGGAAGAAAGCCTCCTGGCTTCAAACAGTTGTAAATCGGGTTCGAGGAAGGTAACATACCTGAAAAATCTCTCTCTCTCCCTCTTCTCTCTCTTTTCTCACTCACTCTCTCTCTCTCTCTCTCTCCCTACCCCGCTCCTCTCTCTCACGCACACAAAGTTGAGTGTCACTCCAACTAAGGAGAAAACCACACCATCATCAACACTGGTTGAGCAGGCTCCCCTAAAGCCCACCCTTTAGTAGCACTGATGAAGCTACCTAGTTGGGTAATGAAACGTCTGCAACCAAACAACCAGGCCGAGAGAGCACTGAATACCTCCACAATCCTCCTCTCTGCAAACTTCCCTCCATTCTAGCGCTGATGATGCTACCTAGCCGGGTAATGAAACGTCTGCAAGCAAACAACCAGGCTCAGAGAGCACCAAGGACCTCCCTGGTTTATTTTCAGTTTCCAGAGCCAGAACAATCTTATCCTAAAACTAAATTCTTGTAATTTAATTTAAAACAATTGCACACGTGTCCAGTATCCCAAAAGAGAGGTCTAAGGAAAGGCCTTGGGGCTTTGCTGTGCTGGTTTTTTTAGAGGTTTGATTATCCAATGAAGTAACATCGTTGATGCTAGTGAGCGTGACCATATATAAAATATGGTATATGTGCCAGAGGTAGGTCGGGTGTGGTTTTTCCCTTGGTAAGTCCTTGATTATATTGTTGTTGTCTGCTTCATTGTTTGTCCAATGTAACTACCAAAGAGAAAAACGTGCCCTCATTGGCAGAGCAAGCTCCTACATATAAACAACCCTACACTCTGTAACCCTGATGATGTTACCTAGTTGGGTAATGAAATGTCTGCAAGCAAAGAACAAAGCTCAGAGAACGCCACAGATTCTACATCTCGCTCCAACCGTGTGAAAAAGCAACTATTTAACAGCAGACAGGTACACTTAGCAGTCTTCAGGTGAGAAACCGTCTGCAGGGGTAGGTTTTTCTCACTGACTTCCAATTAAACACATTTTTATTTTACTTTTTTTTTGCTGGCTGCAATTTTCCCACACCGGCGCTTCGCTTCAGCTGCCCCTGAGTTAAAACCTCACATTATTATCTCAGCATTGCTTCCGCTACCGCTGCCAAAATTGTAAGACGGAGGATACATATCTTTCTGAAAGACATTTGAAAGAGGAAGGACAGAAGAAAAGACAGGGAAAGGAGGAAAGTTGGGGGAAGAAAAGGGGAAGGAAGAAAAGGGAAAAAGGAATGGGAAAAGGAAAGGAAAAAGGGAAGGGAAGGAAGAAGAGGTGAAGGGAAAGGAAGGGAAGAAGAGGGAAGGGAAAGAAAAGGAGATGAAGGGAAGGAGGAAGAGGGAAGGGAAAGGAAGAAGAGATAAAGGAGGAAAAGGGAAGGGAAGGGAAGGAAGAGATGAAGGGAAGGGAAGGAGGAAGATGGAAGGGAAGGGAAAGAAAGGAAGAAGAGATGAAGGGAAGGAATGGAAAGGAAGGGAAGGGATGAGGAAGGGAAAGGGAAAGGAAGGGAAAGGAAAAGAAGGGAAAAGAAAGGAAAAGGGAAGGGAAGGAAAAAGGAAAAGGGAAGGAAAGGAGGAAAAGGGAAGGAAAGGAAAGGAGGAAAAGGGAAGG